CATATGAGGGGATGAGTATGTTCCATGTAATAACAAGCAGTCTTTTCCTATATCAAGTCATCCCCAAACTAGACTTGAACAAAGCAGAAAACTTTAAGAGGGAGATATATGAGGGTTATTTCTCCAACTTTGTCCAACTCAACTTTATGCTTTTTTTTTTTTTCTGCCTGAGAAGCACAGAATAAATCCAAGCTGTGATGACTGGGGAGAGCAGAGACTGCCTGAAGGCAGTGAGCAGATGTGTAGGCTGAGTGAGAAATTATAAGCAAAGAGAAAACTCAGACTAAGAGGATTTGAGCTTCATCAAACTTCATCATTAACAGAAGGATAGAGAGAAATAAGGACAGAGGAATGAGATCTATAAGGGCTTAACAGTCATGATTTCTTTCCTGTGGCCCTGTCAAGAATTTTCAAAGGAGAGGATGCTGACTTTGACCTCTTGCATAGCACATTTCCTAGGCTCACCTAGGACTAGAAGGTCCTTTACCTGTCTTTTTCAGTGTAGGCTCTATTTGCAGTTCTATAGATTTGAATACATTTCACTTTTTTTTTTTTTTTTTCTAGGAATAGAAAACACTTGGGCATTTTACACCTGTTCTCACTAATGACCTCTGTGCTTTAAAACAAATGGAATAATTTTCAGGGTTTAATGGGCTTTTGCCTTCAACAGCTACAAATAATCTAATTATCTAGCCACCCTGGGTACTGGATGATTTAAGAATTAAAGACACGATTAGAATCTGTTACAGTAATTAGAATCCATTTTAAACCAATTGCCTGTGGCATTACATGGTCTAGTGAAAGAAAGGCTGCTGGCTAAATGCTCTTCTACTAATGCAAAAAATAAACGTTAGCACAGTATTTTTTTTTTACTAAGAAAACTGAGATTTCAGAAGTCAAGTCAATCAAATTGCCTGTCCCTTTTTATGCAATTTGCTCTTTAAATATGTCACACTTCATTGAAGCTAACAGCTAACAGAAGGATGACCACAGATCAACTGGGCTTTGGATGAGATTCACTGGACAAATTTGTACTTTTAGAAAATAAAGGGAAAATTAAAAATTTAGTGAATGGAAAATTCATTACTTACATAACTTAGAAGTCATAATGAAAGAGATATGGGTAGATTGGGAAATATGAGGAGAACTTCTGCAGAGAGAGAAAGCCATGACCCACAGATCAGACAGAATCATTCACGGGAGTTAGCAAGTAGGAGCAAGTAGGTGTATGACAGTGACCCAGCTGGTATAACATTTCTGAATTTCCAGAAAGCTCTGACAACACTGCTTGATCCAAAACTGCTTAGGAAATTAAGCTATGACTGCAGAGGAAAAAGGATCTTCTCACGGGTAAAGGATGAGTTGAACCACAGAAAACAAGTGGTAGGATTTGGTGAATGATTCCCACCATGATGGCAGTGGAAATTAGCATGCAGCAGCCCTCTGTGTTGGCCAGTGCCAGTCAGCTCATCTGTGACCTGTTTGTGTGGACACTGGATCAGAGTGTTTACTGGTTTACACTGGCAGCCATTGGCTGGATAGAACTGGTAGAGGATCCTCATAAGTCTCATCCAACAGGCAGCAAGGCAACATCAGGAAGAAAAGTGTTGTACGTTAGTTGGAGGGGAATACTTCCCATATGTGCATTATTCAGGAAAGAGACTTTGGAATCATTCAGCTTAGTGTGTCCTAAAGGATAGCAGCATGGTAGTACTTATTAAGGTGGGAAGTGAGAACAAGACAGAAAACGTAGTATTGGATGAATTTGTGATGTGTTCATGGTTTGAATATTACAGTCTGGCCACCTGTCTCAAAGAAAATGTTAGAAGTGCTAGAAGAGATTCAGAGAGGGATACAAAGATGACCTGGACATGGGATGCTTCCGTGCAAAAAGATCCAAAATGAATTGAGACTCAGCCTGGTAAATAAATTATTAGAGAGGGCTATGCAAGAGAGTTAACTAAGAATGTTGACAGTGAGGAAGCTATTTAAGCTCTTTGATTGAAAGGTTCCCCCGCTTACTCCGGGTGAAATGAGCCTCTGTGCAGGGGAACATGGGGCATTTCATTTCTTTCTTTGCCTTCTTACTCTCAATCTCATGCATCATGCTAGTTCACAGGTCACCAGCTGAGCTGCAAACTGTAGAGGCAAGGGGAGCCAAAGGTTATCTGAACTGAGGCTGGAGGGCAAAACCTTGAGAAACTCCCGTCCCTCTGAATTTGTCACTGAAATTTCAGCCACACTGTGAGCTGGGGAAAGTGTGCTGTGCCTGGCACTGTTTTTGCCTGTGTTAGCTGTTCCTATGTGAACATGCAAGATGTTAAATAATTTATAGCACTGCCACTCTTAAGTAGCACTGAGAGCCTGAAGATTGGTAAATGATACATAGAGACCTCTGTTCAGAAACCCTTTTCTATTAGTAAATGATCTATAAATGACCTCATTCTTCAGAAATCATTTCCAATCTATTTTGAGTCATGTTGTGATGACTAAAGACAGGATCAGGATCAGTGACCAACTGCCAGTAAGTTGCATGGAAGATCTGGGATCTACCAAGTTTCCTCATAGTTTATTGTTTTTTACTCAATATAGCAACATGCCATGCTGCAATCTCAGTCCAGACTGGCAATGGGCAGCTCAGAAACTCCTTTATAGCTTGTTTTATAGCACATCATATTCTCCATAGATCATTCCTGACCCGGTTCCCAGGCAGGGAACTGATACTGTCTTCCTTCAGCTCATCTTCTCATGCCCTTTGCTTCCATGGCACTAACAGCAGCTGAGCAGTGCTTTATTCATGCATACCTCAGGGTCCTTTTTTGATTTCATTTGTATCTATTTAACCTACATGTTCTACTGATGATGTGCTATTTGTGAACGAAATGGAGCTTTATCCAATCAGCCCAACTATCTTTCAAACATCCACCACTGCCTTACATATGTCCTTATCCATCTGCAGAAAAGTGGATGCCATCTTCACTTATGCCACACTTGTGTGGCTTCCAGTAAAGCAAGGAGTTGTGTTTTTCAGATTTAAATAGGTCTGTCTTCTGTCACTTGCCACAGTGATAACAAATAAAATCTGTGACTCAAGATATCAGAGAGCAAACTCCTCCTTCTGTAGAACATAAACCATATTCTAACCAGAAGAGCTTAAATAATAGGGTTCTTTTTCTAAATTTATTTGAATAGTGATCTTATTTGGAAGCTCTGCTAGCAAGTCACTGTCTACAGAAAGCTGCTGAGGTGCACAGACCCTTGATTTGCTCATTCTGATCTTTCTATGAGTTTGTTAGCGCAGGCACCACGCACTAATACCAACAAATGCAGTACAGACAAATTTAATGAATACTTCACTTTTTTATGTCATGCAGAGAAAATGCTTACACTTAGCAGCGCCTGAGACTGGGGAAAAAAATGAAAAGACAAAATAATGTGTTTTGTACTGGATTAATAAGCAAAGGGACTGTGGTGTACGCAGTTCTGTGATTCTATGATTCTATAGCTATAGAGATATAAGGTATGATTCATGTCATCTAAAGGGGAACATCTGCACCAAAATGAGTTGGCCTAGGTTTTTTGAATAGTTTATAGAGAGCTAGGTGTTTTTAGGGTGGAGTTCACATGCCCTGTGCTAGACATCTACATCTGGTCAGCTGGACATCTACATCTGGTCACTATGAGCCCCATGTAAGTGATGCTGTTGCACCTTGCTAGGTATGGGGTACTTTGGAGAGTGCACAGCTGCCCCTCTGATGAGAGAGAGAGCTACCACTATCACTTGATGTTTTGCAGAAGATTCAGCTATTCTAAGCCACAAATATGCTGGAGTGCAGACTGGGCTGAAAGGGGGATGCCAGGAATAACAAGGACCATTAAGCTCCAACCCCCCTACTGCAGGCAGGGCCACCAACTTCCCTATCTAATACTAGATTAGATTGCTCAGGGCCCCATCCAACCTGGTCTTGAACACCTCCAGGGACAGGGCATCTCAACCTCTCTGGCAGCCTGTTCCAGCACTTCATTACTCATAAAAAAAGAACTTTCCCCTGATATCCAACCTAAATCTTCCCTCCTTCAACTTAGAACCATTTCTCCTTGTCCTGCTGTTATCTACCCTTTCAAAGAGTTGACTCCCCTCCTGTTCGTAGGCTCCCTTTAGGTACTGGAAGGCTGCAATGAGGTCAGTGAATGAATAAGTGAGCTGCCAATGCACGGGTGCTCTGAAAAAATGGATGAGTCAAAGGGAGTGGTGCTTTCAGTATGCTTGGAACCAACGCTTAAAGTTTGTGAAGAAAACCTTGATAGCATCAGATACCAAACACTTTCCATCTCCCACATCATGAAGCAGCTCTGGACCAAAGGTGCTGTTACCATGTGTAGTAACACATGACACTGCTATGTGGTTGCAAGTCTCTGGGTTAATTACACCAATGCAGAGAGAGATTTTTCAGGTGAATCATTCGGGGCACCTCCTTAAGGCTGCAGCTCTGGGCTCTCCATTGGGAAACACTTCTCGTCTATGGTATAGGCAGAGCATCTAATGCCTCCTAAATGGGATATTGTACAAACCTCACCCTGTCCTGATATCAGGAAAAAACAGAAAATATCTGACCATGTGGAACATCTCTAAGTAAACTACCCTAATGAGAAGCTGGAACAATTGACTTACAGGAAAATCTTTTCAGTCAATATCTTTGTCAATATCTTTATTTTTTTGTTTTCAGATGTTACGGTAATGGTGGATAATCAATATGGGAAATAAACACATTTTTAAGACAAAACTGAACCTAACAGTCTTAGTGCTAATGTGTATTCCTTCTATAACTGTGCTGCTCAGCTTCACCTCCATTTCATGTTGTCATTGTTGATTGTGTATTGCTTAATTACTACATTACAGCACTTGTTAGACTGTGGCAAGGAAAGTATTGCAGTCAGAAAACACAGTTTTAGACTGAAATGTGTATCTGCAATTACATGCTGAAGTATTGCTCACTTACCAACTGATATGGTCCAAACAGCGATTATTTTTGCAAAAGCCTTTGTTCTTGAGTTAAACCTGCTGTGGTAGATGGGATTTCGAATGGCAATGTAACGATCCAATGAGATGGCACAGAGGTGCATGATGGAGGCAGTGGAGAAAAGCACGTCCAGGTAGATCCAAATGGCACACAGCTCCTTAGGCAGAGGCCACGTGTATTCTGAGCAAGAGAAAGTTGACGTCAGCTATAATGTGACGTAGTCACATCTTTTGTTGCAAAGCATTTTTCTCACTGCGCATGTATTCCTAGGAAATGCTGGTAGTAAGGAAGCTGTCTGATAGCTTCTCTATTTCTCTTTTAGGAAATCTTTTTTTTTTTTTTTTTTTCTTTCATTTGCTTGCAAAGGCTCTGTTTGTTTTTTTGGGGTTATTTATTTATTTATTTATTTATTTATTTATTTATTTATTTAGTTTTCCCAGGCTGCTGTGTGGGTATGTGTTTTTCTTTTCTATGTGAATAATGCTTGATGTTGTAATCAACATCTATGGAAGGAGAAAAAAAATTGTTACTGCACGTGTGAAATTTCTCAGTTTTCCATTAGAAATTATCATCAGTGTGATTACTGTATTATTAACACCTGCTGATCTACAAAGCCTTCTAAAATCTGAAACTGAAACTTCAGATTTGGTGGCAGCTGGAGAAAGAAATATATTTAGTTGCATATCAGTGATGTTTATGACACCTATCTTTAGATAACTTATTTCCACATATTTAGATAGGGACAATATTCTAATATCATCAGTGTATATTGTCAGGCTACTCCAGAGAAAGCAATCCGAAGATAATACATTAGAGTTTATCAGTATCAATCCTACATGTTCTTTGCTGCAAACTAAGCCTTTCTTTTTCCTTGTTTTTTTCCACTGGTAATGAAGAATAATTGATTACTGTCCTTTCTGAAAGCTATTGGAAGATGGCTATCATGTCTTGTCTATCTTTTTCTCTTCCAGACTAAGCAAAGCCAGTTCCTTTATCTTTTGCTTGCAGATGATGTTTACAGAACTTTTATGCCTCTTGTTTCTCTGCCCCAGAATCTATTTAATTTATCTTGCTGCAGTGACCAATGCTGGATCCTGTTCTTGATGCTGCTGAAAAGGCCTCCTGACTGCTAAGTGAAATACGAGCCTACTTCGTGGGTCTTGCAGGAATGCTCTTACTTATCTAACCTGGAATGAAGAGGGCCTTTGGTATGAAAGCATCATACTTATGCTGCATACTTAGCTTATGATTCATTTTGACAGTCAGATCTGTTTCAAGATTCTGAAGCCTGGACTAATTTCCCCAGCAGGTGTTGGTTTGATATCTCTTCCTAAGTGGATAACTTTGCTTTTATCCTCACTAAATTTCATTTGTTCATTTTAGACTTTCTCTTTTGGGGTTGATGATTCTGATTCTGGGCATCTGAGTGCTTGTAGCCTCTCCCACTTTGGGCTTTTGGAAAATCGTGCAAGCTCATAGTGTATCCAAGTTGTTAAGCAGGCGTAGGCTAAGCAGAGCCCTGCAAAACCATCATACCAAGGTTCTTCTAGTCCTGCAGGGAACCACCAGTAAGTCTTCTTGGGGCAAGTTTTGCAGTTAACCTTCCCTTGTCTTTTGGTGATTTAATTTACCACGTTAATTACCCAAGCTGCCCAAGAATGTGTTGCATAGGACAATGGTAAAGCTGATGTTGTAAGAAGATATTAGTTTTTCAGGGTGTGCCTGGCTCTTTTGGAAATACAGTACAACCTAGTTTGCAACAGAAGGATTAGAGGCAGAGGAATTAGGTCTGTGCCTAATTACATTTACTCTCTCTAAGCACTGCAGAGACCTATTTCCTGGTGCTCTTGGATGGCTGTAATGTGACTGACTCTAATAAGCCATACGGTATTTATGGATAAGTTTTATCTTTTTCCTGCTCTTCCAAAGAGGAAGCCAGTCTCTGGAGAGCTCTAAATGAGGGCTGAATTTCTGAAGCATGTCTTCCTCGCAGCCTCTATGTCAGCCCAGGACAGTTTGCACAGGGAAAAGGCAGAAACTACTTTTGCGCTCAACAACATGCGCCTGTTCTCTTTCAGAACAGATTTGTCACACCCTTCTAGACTTCTTGTCCTTGCTCTAAACCTGGATATGGCAGGGATAGGCAGCATTCTTCAAATAAACCACCTTGGAGACTACATGGCCATGAAATGGAAGATAGATGAGAGGAGCCAACTGCAGATGCAGTGCAAGTCAAGAAGAATGCAGCCTCCTCCAGGCTGACCTTACGACATGTTAAGTGACATGTCAGATGGGGCACCTTGGTCTTGTGCCATCTTCTCACCATTGCCTAATTCACCCTTCTGCTTATCCAGGGGAAACAAAGCAAAACAAAACAAAGTAAAACAAAACATGGCTCATGAGAGCTCCTGATGTCTAGGAGCTCACACGAGGGAGACCCATCCGAAGAAGAGGCAAGTAATGCTTGCACATCTGTGAATGGTCAGGTTGTGAGGCTGAAAGGGAGAACAGATAACACAGAGACAAGATTTTTCTCCTGTTGTACCTAGATAGTATGAAGAAGAGAAGTGTTTCCTCCCAAGGCCTTTCAGGAGAGGAGGTGGAGAAGTGAAGCTGACCAGGATTGGTAACAAGGTATATGGGAAAACTGAGTGATGAAGGGCTAAGGAAAGAGGAGAGTCTGTAGGCAGGCATGGTTGCTGAGAAGGCCTTGTCTACTGTCCTACCTTGTCAGAAGCACCTGAGCTGAGGCCTCAGAGTTAGTGCTGGGCTGCTCAGGAGCCCTTTGAAGCACCTGATCCTTCTGCTGAAGCAGGGAAGAAGCATCTGCCAATAAACCCAACAACATCTCCATGCTGCCATAGGGCAAATCTCCAAGAGATGTTCAGAACTAAGTGCATGTTTGAGTGAGAAAAAGTACTGCTCAACTCTGGGTGTTTTCTGATCTGTGGGCACATTCACCTTTCCTGGATGCTGTGAAAGTGTTGCAGAATGTCTTTTCAATGGGAGGCTGGAGCTGCTGGGTGGACGGAAAAGCCTGCCTGGCTTCTGTTGTGCAGGACATTTGGCCAAGGCATCCCAATGGGAATTGCACAAAATAGTGATAAGGTGTAGGGAAAGAAGTCATCTCTGTTTCGAGCAAAATTGTCAAAATTTCCCTGCAAAGAGTGAGTGGAGGATCAACCTCATTGCAAGTCCCTTGTTACAAAGGTCCCTAATTCTGACTGGGGATTACCACTATGGGTGGCATAGAATCATAGAATCATTTAGACTTGAAGAGATCATCCAGTCCAACCATCTTCCATCACTAAACATCCTTTAGTGCCACGTCCACACATCTCTTAAATACATCCAGGAATGGGGACAGCACCACTTCCCCAGGCAGCCCATTCCAATGCTCAACCACACACTCCATGAAGAAATTCTTCCTAATATCCATTTTAACACCCTTGGCATGCCTTAAGGCCATCCTCTTGCATCTTATTACCACGTGATGCCACCTGCCTGATGCTGCCTGTGGATTTGCAGGGCTGCCTGTAGGAATCCCAGTCCTCATCTCCCAGCCAGATATCTCCCAGCCGTTAGGGTTTGGGGCACTTTGGGGTTTCGTCGGCAGCAGAGCCTGGCCAGCAGGAGTCCCTGTTGCTTGTCTCAGGGAAGCAGGCAGTGTCAGGAAGGGTTTTTGTTCACCTTACGCAATGGACGGTTTTTGCAGCTTTACGCTGCTTCTCCAACGGCCAGAGTGATTGCACAATTATTGCAATGAATCACAGCCTCATACCCTCAGCAGTGTCAGCACCATGCAGAAATGTGGTACTGGGAAATAAACTTCTAGTGTGCTGGATGAAACCTCTTGTAAGTTACAGCCTCACACTCAAAGAGCTCTACTCCTGAAACCATGCGGCTATAGAAAGCTTTGCAAACAACCTCGCTTTCCTCCTCGCTTCTCTTTCAAATATAGCCACTTGCTTGTGGTACTGGAAAACTCATTTTTCAAAGTTTAGGGATGATAATAGCCTGACAATATTGACACTGAACACATAGGCTGCTGCTTTTTCCTACGCAAGCTGAGCTGCAAATGATTTCGGCACAAATGAGAAGAAAGGTCTGCTATATTAATCACCTACAAGGGTCTGAACTGTGAGTCATAATCCACTTAATTCTTAAATATCTTATGGAATTGTAGCTAATATTTAGCTTTGCTTCTGTAAATGTTAGTAAAAATTAGGCAGAATTAATTCCCATCCAGTTTTTAACTCCCACAGTATTTATTGCAGCCTGTCTCTGTAAGTGGAGGTCTAAGTAAGATGTTGGTGTTAAGGGAATTTTAAAGTTTGAATTACTTCATTAAAAAAATTAAAGGGGTTGCCAGCTTTTACTCTAAAGGCAGTCATTAGTCCTTCCACACATTTTTGCAAAGCAGAGTAACTGGCAGGACCCTATATTCCCACCAGAATTACTGAAATTTATAAGCCAGGGAAAACAATGAAAGAATAAGGAGAACAAAGCGTCTTCATGCATGTTTTGAGACAATTCCATCAGCAAATGAGTAAATATCTATCAATCTGTTCTTACGTCCATTAACCACTTACATGCTTCCCGCATGGAGTCATTACAGTAAGAATGAAATAAGAACAATGCCAACACGTGCATGCAATGTTTAAAGCTTCCCTCAACATGCAGCAGATCCCACAGCTCGTACTCACCGTACAGTATGGTTAACATTGACACGGGCATGACAAGGAAACCCAGCAGCATATCAGCTATTGCAAGTGACATGAGAAAATAGTTAGTGGCATTCTGCAGCTTTTTCTCCAGTGACACAGCCATGATGACAAGAATATTCCCAGCAATGGTTAAAACAATCACTATCACTGTCAGCAGAGCTGGCCAGTTTTTCTCTGAGAGCTGAAAGAGGGAAGAGTAGCACGGAGGACTTTCACATGAAAGATTGGTCAGGTTTTCAGAGTCTGCAGTCAAGTTACAGAAATGTGACACATTAGTCTCTCCTGGTCCGTAAACGTTTCTGTAGAGTCTCCTCTCATGATTTATTTGCATTAAGGAGTTTGCAGTTGGGTTCGCAGAGCTTTCCTCATCACAAAGGGTATCCATTGCTAAGTCTGAAATCGGTGAGATAAATGGTGAAAAATAGGAAATGGTCACCCTTTGTCACCATCAGGCTTTGCATTCCTCAGCTGTCTGTGGCAGAAGTTGGTGGAGCCCAATCCTTTGTCAACTGCATTTTTACCATTAGCACGATGTAGAAAAACATACCAGAATTACTCCAAATGCCGAAATGTTTTGTTTTCTGTTCCATAGGAAGTCCAGAGTTGGCACTGAAAACCCAGGTAAAAAGCAAAGCCAAACTAGAGGATAGAGACCGTGGACTTGAGGCTTGAGAGAGCAAAAATATTGTAGAAATAAGAGAGAAAAAACTTTTGCAGCCACTAGGACTCCCCTCTGGAGCTACATCTTATTGCCATTGGTAACTGTAATCACACAATTTTGAACACAGCAGTATTAAAATAGCTTGCCATACAAAGCAGCAGAGCTCTTGCTTCCCTGTTAAGAAAGTTGATTAAAGATTCTGTCCGGCATCTTTCTCTTGAAATAATTAGATATGCTCTTATTTATAGTGCATCTTCCATAATACGCCTGATATTCTGCTGCATTTCTGACTTCTGTTGCATTTCAGGATCATTTTCAGCCCCAGATCAGTGATTACACTTTCTGCTCCACGCTGATTTTTGTCACTAACTGTACCTTTTGGCCCAGCCTGGTTTCAAAATGGGAAAGAAAAAAACAGATACTATGATTTAAAAACAAAACAAAACAAGACAATTTAAGAGAGACTTACATTGCACTTTAGAGCCCACACTCAAACTGCGTTTGGGTTCGCTCTGTGCCCCTGTCTGCCTGCATCCTTCAGCATTTAGCCAGTTTGGGGTTCTTTTTCTTCAGCCTCCTCCAAAACGGTGGCACTTGGAAAAAATCTTTTGGTTTGCTTGTTTTGTTTTGTTTTGTTTTGACTTCTAAACTGCACACTCGAGTGAAGCCAGCTCCTGTGCTGCGAGGCTCTCTGTTTTCTTCTGAGAGATAGGCTGCTCGCCGGCTCTTTCCTTGTGCGATTCCCCCGCCCCGGGGCAAGCTATATTTAAAATAATAATAATAGCAAAGCCCTTCGCACACAGTGACACAGAAGAAAGCACGCACACGAGGAAAAGCAGCCAGCAAGGAGGAATTACAGATTTCGACAGGAATGGAATTTCTTGCTCGCTGCCTCGTTCGGTTTGTCAGACCTCCCACTATTTGGATGTCACAAACTGCAAGGTAGCGACGGCAGAGGAGGGCAGTCCAAGCAGGGGATTTTTTTTTTTTCTTTTTTGGCAAACCAGCAGTTTTTCATGGCATATTTTGGAGGTCCTGAGCTTGGGTCTTTTTCACACACTTTGCACACGTTGCATTTGCAGAGGATGCCTTGCAAACACAGCTGCATGCAATTACAGCGTTTCACAGGATGTAGGCTTAAAGAGATGAAATCTAAGGCTCGCAGTGGTAGATAGTAGTGAAAAACATAAGTGCAAAGCTTTTTCCATCTACAGGGGAAATTATGCAAGCCTTACAAGGAAGAAATAATGATCAGTCCCCTTCAGTTTTAACTCCATGTCTATGCTGGCACGCTTATCAAACTGGCAGTGGCTATTTATAAAAATGTGAAGTCAGCCTGACGTCCCTCCCATTTGTGAGGAGGGGATGTTACAGCGAACCCCAGCAACCTGTCCCAAAGAAGCATCCCAGATGAAGCAGGTCTCTAAAGCAAAGTAGCACACAGCAGATGGGGGATTTGTGTTCTCTGACAAATCTGCCCCTCACAGTCCATTCTGCCGCATGAAGTAAGCAACTCTTAAATTTTCCACATAGCAGAAATGCTCCTCAGAAATTCCCCAAGACTTACTCTTGCCAAAAACTAAGCAGAGGAGTTGGGTGTGTGCTCCCATAGCTCAGGTTGGCATGCAGCATCTCTAACTCTCCTGCACATCTCAGGGGGCTGCAAGTACGTGGAGACTTGCCACAACTTTTCTGCTATGTGCTGATCTCATCAGCGGTCAAAGACTTATCAAAGGAAGTCCCAGGGCACATGCTCCATGTCTATGAAGCATTTTTTACTGTAAAGTCACTTTGGGATCAGTTTTGCAATCTACTCCCACACCAGCAGTTACCAGAGCAGGACAGAGCAGCCAGAGAGCAGCTCCTACTTGGAAATCAGAAATGAATCATCTCAAAACTAAAGTTTCCCAGTCCCATAGAATAGCCCAGGAGACTATCAGACAGCATAAGCTGGTAAAGAAGGCTGATAGTGCTGAATTTAGCATGCAACATTTTAACCCTAACAGTGACATGTGAGATCCCAAATAAGCTCTTTCCCTCCCTCCTTTAACATGATAACCGAATTGGGTTACTACATTTAACAAGGGAATTCAACATCTTGGCTCCAGAGATTTTAGCAGCTATCTCCATAAAGATGCCCTTGGTGTGAGAATGCAAACCTGCTGTAGATATGCTCCACTATTGCTGAACATGGCTACTTAGTGGGCTTAATAATCCTAGTGGTCTTAGAGGTCTTTTCCAACTTTTAATGAGTCTATGATTCTATGCGGGTTAAATATTAGAAAATAAATTATTAGAAAGGGTGGTGAGGCACTGGAACAGTCCATTTAGGGAGGTGATGGAGTCACGATCCCTGGAGGTATTCAAGAAATGAGTAGACGTGGCACAGAGGGACATGGTCAGTGGGCATGGTGGAGATGGGCTGATGGTAGGACTGGATGATCTTAGAAGTCTTTTCTGACCTTGATGATTCCATTAATCTATGATTCTGTACTTGCAAAGAGGGACCCAAGACCCCTCGCCTAAGGGTAAGTGTAAGTTCTTTCTGAGGAGACCAGACATCCTCTGCTGTTTTCTCATAGGGCTCCCTCCAAGCTCAAATGATTCTTTGATGTAATAGTTTCAATGGGAAATACTTTCTGGGAGGTAAATACCCCAACTGTGGGTCAGAGGCTGGTTATACCAGCAAAGTTGTACCAGACAGGTCTGTGCACTTGTTTCTCACTCCAAGACTAGAAAGGAGATTTGGAACAAGGTCTTCCAGTTTCTTGCATGAATGCACTGTGTGTAATAGTGTGTGTAGGCTGTGTGTAAAAGTTTTGTGAACCCTACATTCACATCTGCAGCTCCTTGTAGGCCTGAAGCAGATCCCTGAAGTGTAGAAAGAGGCAGGAATTTGTTACCTTCCTGGTCCACACTGAGTAACTTCACCTCCCCTTTGCTCTGGTAGTATAACTCTCACCCAGATACTTAAACCTTTCTTGGATCCAAAGTCTCTTTTAAGAATGTAACTCTGGACAACAGAAATATACACAATACATGTTAACAAGTTGGATGTCTCCATGATGGAGACCTGTACAGATACAGTCATAAGATCTTCAGGTAAGCATTGCAACATCTCCTTTTGTCTGCCATAGACACATTTGTCTGAGTGTCTTCTGAGCAGTCTTCTGTCCCATTTGTTAGATGTGAGCCTGAGGCATAGTCACATCAAAAATCCTTCCTTGCATGTGAAGCATGGATGGCCAAGAAAACAATTCTGTGTAGCCCAGTATGTCAGAAACAAGCTCATGATCCTATGTCTTCTAGCAAAGTGTGCTGGGTGTTCTACTGGGTGAAAAATATTCTGTTGTTTACCTCCAGATTTAACACTACTACCCTCTGAAAACCTGAAAATGGCTTTTCTTCCATGTAATGTTACTACAGGTGTCAAGCAACCCAAAACATACAACCTTCCCAAGCTGAACTCAGTGAAAGGAGGGTACCTGGGCTTTCCCATGTGCTTTCACCTCCTCGCAGAACTGAGAGTGTTCTGCATTGAAGCAACAGTTGAATACAACTCCTGCATTATTTTCAATGTCTAAAGCCAATGCTGACCATTGTTTTTCCTAAAGGTGAATAGCTCTGGAAAGCTGAAATCCCAGGCAGTGTCTGTACTGAAAACAAAGACAGCTGCAGTCTGCTACAGCCTATGTAAATTAAGTGAAATCTTAGCTTGAAGTGGTGATAACGTGGTCTGCAGCTAGGCATTAAGCATTCTTCAGAAACAAAGCAGGCACTGGAACATACTGCTTTGTAATTTCCGGTAGAGATCAATGTATGGCATTCATGTGAGCCCCTCCTCTGTTCCCCAGCCCTGCTTCAAAACGTTGTAGGCCATTAAACTGCCCACTTGGGCAGGGTTTTTATGATTGGCGTGGTGTGTTACTGCTTCCTGAAAATGTATTCCTTTTCAGCAATGTCTTCCGATAGGGGACAGGTTTTTTAAAAATCAGTTCATTTACGTAACTCAAACTTAGGATAATTCAAGGTATACAAGCCTCTGAGTTTGTTATTGCCTTCTTTGATGTTTTCAGTAGATTGTGTAATCAGTAACTGTATAAACTGCAAAGGTTAATCATTCACTCTGATATCTAGAAGTCAGGCCAGGGGAACATGAATAGTTTTTGTCATGGTTGAACTTGCAGTTATCTGGTTTCTCTGTTTACATTTACTGGAGCTGCTGGAGCAGTTCATATTCTGGTGCCTGGAGACATGAATCAGAGCCTAGTTATTATAAACCAGAACAAATAACTAAATGGTGCTGCTCTGATTCTTTATGATACATGCTCCACGGTTGAGCTCAGGCTGGATCTCTTGATCTTCTCAACCCATTCTGTTGTAGAAACAGCTGTCACCACCTTTCCAAAAATCATGCAGGACCAGCATCCTTCATGCTTGCAGTCCATGGGTGAAGATCCCAACAAGCTGAATTCTGTGGCACCAGCACCATGTCCTCGTGTGCTGCTTTCAAAAGCCTCACTGGCTCATGTATCCATGAGGTGTGGATGGATGTATGGCATTCCTGGCGACACGCAGTATCCTCTTTCCTCACTGCATGTAATTCTTTCAGGATCCCCAGGCCATTCTGCATACTTACAGTCCCAACAAGGAGATAAGTGTAAGAAACTGCAGCACTCTAAGGCATATATCTGCCTAGAGATGTCCACTGGGACCAGTATCACTACACCTGATATCACTTCCATGTTGATGTGATACCAGCGCAGCTCAGTGAAGTTGTTGTGTCACAAAACTTGTGTAATGATTTGTGGGCTGGAAATCACAGTGGGAAAAAAAAACAAACCAAACACCTGTCTTGTGAAATGTTGACTATTTACACAGTTTCTTCATATCATTTTTTTTCCACAGGAGGAAAATCTCTGAAGAGCTTCAGTTTCTAAAGGTACACAAATATTTTCAGTATTTTTTAACAAAATGTAGCATTTTAATATTGTTGAATTAAAAATGTTTTCTTGTGAGCCAGCTACCTGGCTGTGATGCAAATTATCTTATTCCCTTATTCTCCAGGACGATTTATATCCAATGTAGCAGCAAGCCCAGAGGCAGTTTCACATTGAACTGAATTGAAATCAAATATTCTTGTTCAGTTAAAAAATAAAGTGAAACATTTGATTTCGGTCAAGTCAGTGTAGTGGAGAAAATATTTTGCTTTGATATTCCCAAAGGAAACCTGAATGCCTTGGGCAAAATTAATTTTTTCTTGCATAAAATGTTGATTTTGTGGAAGCAGTTTTCCACTAAAGGCCATGTTACTGGCAAGCATTCGTTAAGTTTTTGTGCTGAAGCAGTGAACAGCCTGTGATGCTTTAAGAATGAACTCTGCAACCTTATTTATAGAAACCTCTATAAATATCTGTGCTTTGTTTCAGAAAGGCTTGAAAGTTCTTCTTCCTAATCTTTCTCTCAGGTGTAAATGTTGACTATTTATACAACTGACAATAGCTTTTATATGATCAGAGACCTCTGTAGGTCTCTGGTTTACTAAAACCCATTTGGTTTTGGATATCTCCATTTCAGCATTACTGGAAAGAAGCTGGCAGGTTGACTTGTTCTGCGTCATTGTAATGCTTCGGTCTGATGAGGGTAGATGTGGCTCTGTGGGACATGGATTAGTGCACATGGAAGGGATGGGCTGACGTTTGGACTAGATGGTCTTAGGAATCTTTTTCCAACCTTTATGATTCTATGATTCTAAGATGACCTGATTTGTAAACTGGGCAGTTCCTCTACAGGTAAAAATTTAATTCATCCTGACAAACATCACTGCAAGTCCTGTGGCTTAAAGCTCTGTACTTCAGCTTTAGTATGAAAATCTATTCAATTTTTTTTCTCGGTTTAAACTG